AGGGGTGACTTCTCCTGCCTGACTGCCTTCAGGCTGGGATGAGGGGTTTTTCCCATCTTCAGACTCAAAGGAACTTTGGTGGTTCCTGGGTCTAGAGACAGCCAACCTTTGGACAGTAACTATATACTATTGGCTCTCTTGGGGCTCCAGCTTGCCCACTGCAGATCTTGGGGCTTATTAGTCTCCATAATTGTGTGAGCTGATTTCTTATGATCTCTGTCTTTTCCTCCTTCTCCCCTTCCCTCTCCCTCCATCCTGTGGCTCGGTTTCTCTAGAGAACACTGATGAATACATCGTTCTTTTCACACTAGCTTCCTCTGTTCAGAACTTCTACTCCCCACAGATTTGCCTTATGCACTGGCTTTGGMTGCTTTAGCAAAACTAGTTCCTCTGGGGAACTAAATTCCAGGAAAAAGTTTCCAGGAAAAGGTTTAGCTAAATTCCAGGAAAAGGTTTCCAAAGGCCCAGCTTTGGTGGGAAGTGGAGTGGGGGACATCGCAGCTAGGCCTTAGAGTAAACCTGCCCATCTAGAACTGCTTCTCCAACAGGGGCCAAGCAGTGCAGGGAGGGAGAAGGCCACCATAGGGAGGTGAGCCTGGCAAAGCGGTGCAGTTCCACTGAAGATTCCTGCTGCTTCTTTTGGTCCCTGAATGCCATGCTCTTGGCTACTTGGGCCAAGGTTCTCTTGAATCTCTAGTGGCTTCTGTGACCCTTGATCTATTTGAATCATGGCAACAATGTTCCACTCTATCTAGATTCAAGGGAGATTTATTGGCAGCAGAAAAAGAAAATCAATGTTGGGAGAAAGTTCCATATCACATCTTTTTTTTTTTTTTCCTACTACTGGGCATGGAACCCAAGGGTGCTCTACCATTGAGCTACATCCCCAGCCATTTTAAATTTTTATTTGAGATAGGGTCTCACTAAATTGCCCAGATTGATCTCTAACTTGCAAATCTCCTGCCTCAGCTCTCAAATCACTGGGATTACAGGTGTGCCTCAACACCTGTCCAGGGAATGTTTATCTGGTAATTAAGTTTTAAGAGTCAAAGCAGGATTCTGCAGGTGCCGGTACCCATCTGCTTTATTGGTACATATTTTGCCTCTACTATTAGCTGACTTGTGGCAAGTACCAGCCTGGGGCCTGACACATAATAAATATTAAACAAATGTGTGTTGAATCCATAAATGCAATACTTTTTACAGCAACCCAGAGACTAAAGACAGAACAGAATGTCACTCTGATTAGCAAGTGCTAATCATCAGATCTCAGGATGGGCAACACGCTCCTCCTTACTGTCAATTGCTTGCCTTCCTTTCTGGCCATATTAGAATCATTGCACCGGGGCTTTAGAGAATAAACTAAGCAATACTACATCTTGTCCCTTGAGCAGTCTGGGCTCTGCTTTTGCTTGCAAGGTTTCCTCTGCCTAGAACACCTGTCAGGGTCTGCGATTTCACCCCACTGACAAATAAGCTGGTCTGGTGCTATTTCATAGACATGAGACTCCTGACTCAGAGGCAAAACAATAAGAGCATCATAATTATGTCTTTTCCCCTTGTCCTCAGCCTTCACAAGGCAACATAGAGAAGCCCAGATGGACATCACACATGCATTGGGACTTGACTGAGAAGTACTGAATTTGGGGAACCCCCATGGCTTCCAACATCACCATTCCTGATGTAAGCTCTTTGGGGGGAAGACATTCCCTCATCTCTCAAGGTTGCAAACACAGCCCTAAGGAATGATTGAACAGAAATCATGGCCTTGCATTCTTGGCATCCCCAGAGCTAACAGATGGAACTCAAGACCCATGGGGATTGCCACTTTCAACAATGCTATCTCCCACAAGTACTTGCCTACAACCTGTCTTACCTCCAATGACCTTATACTTGAAGAGTCCCCAGGCCTCCCCTTATAGTTCTCTCTCATTCCCTTTTGTATTTTCCTTATAATCCTCATCTATGTCATTTTTGTGTCCACAACAGTCCCTCTGCTTCCAGCAAAGTACCAACACTTGCAGGCAGGCGTAGTCAGTCCTCTTTGTTCCTGCATTCCACATCCAGGGGTCTGCATCTAGCAGGTGCTTAGACCAGATTTGTTAACCTGGATGGAATCAAGATCCTTCTTCATGGTTATGCTTTTCCAGAGTGTCTGCTCCACTGCCTCTTGGAATGTTTTCAGGATTAGAAAGGCTAAAAATATCACCCTAAAGCCACTGCAGGGTTCTTCCTTGTAAGGAGCCGGATTTGACTCCTGAGGCTGAAAGTTTATGCCCACCAGGTGGCGCCCTGACTCGCACAGCTCCAGATGCCTTTTTTAGAAAGGTATTCCCTCTTTCCTCCTTTTTGGCCCCCTGTTCCTTTAGGTCGTTCTGCTCAGAGAAATCCAGCACCCAGATTCAGTTGCTATTTGCCCATCTGAGCCTCAGACTAGGTTAGGATGGGCGTTCAGAGAGCACTGAGGATGTCCTTCTTGTGGATGTTAAGGCATGCTGAGGGAGAAACCCTAAAATTGAGTTGGAAGACCTAGGTTTGAGTTTCAACCCTGCCACTTACAAGTCACGTTCCTTTGGGCAAATCACTAAACATTCTCTGGGTCTCTGTGAGAATAGCTGAGAAAGCAGTGTGGGAAGTATGTAAAAGTACTTGGAATGTGGACATGGAATCAGCTCTACCTAAGCTCCTGCTTCAACTGTCACCCCCAACTCTGAACTTCTTCAGCCCCCTAATTCCTGCTTTCCCCATCAGCAATTGAGAGCTAATAACAACCATTTTAAAGGGTTGGTGTAAGGATCAAATTGAACCATGAAAATAAAATGCTTGTCATGGTACAGAGCATATGCAGTAAACATTCAATTGATAAAAAAAATCACACATATATTCTGTATCCTCAGCCTCTTAACAGGGCCCAGCACTGAATAAGTGTTTAATATCTACTAGTTGAGGCAAAAAATGAAACAGATAAGGAAAGGCACAAAGAGGTTAAGCAGCCCCCCCCCCCTTCCAGGTTCCTGCACTTGAGAATAATGAAGCAATGATACATAGCCAAGTAGTCTGACGCCGGGGTCTGTACCCTGAGCCACATTGSCATGCTGGCTTACATAGATATGGATGTTAAATGTCACCATTTGTTCATTTAAGATACACATGCAGAGCTTTCTCACATTCCTACATGAGGAGGCTAAGTCGGTAATGACAGGCATTAGCCCCTTGAGAAGTGATTTTTTTTCCCCTAGAAAGGATCCAGGCTGCTGGAAGAGGGAACTGCTCAGCCAGGCCAGAGGGCATTGGATTCATCTGAGGACCAGGATATAAAGGACTAGTTCTGCAGTATAGGATCAGCTGGACGTCTGATGTAGGCATGGTTCCCAGGGTAAGAGGGGCCTTCTCAGCTTCACTGCTGTTTCTGCAGTCATTCAGCCATGGACTCCACGTGTATTTACTGGAGTCTCTCCTCTATGCCAGGACCAGGCAGAGATGAATAAGACATGATAACCAATGCTTATGATGTAGCAGACTCAATACTAGGGTGGAGGGATGGTCCAAAAGGAGGTAGAAGAGCAAGTAATCAATAGCCTGGGAGGTTAAACCCAAAGCTGGCAGCATTTAACATGGGCATTGAAGGATAAGTAGGAGTTTTCCAAGTGAGCTCTGGGAATGAAAAGCATTCTAAGTTTGGGGAATAAGAGGACTGGTGGGGTCAACATTCTAGGTGGGAGCATGGGTATGGGAAGGAAGAGAAAAATCAGGAAGTTGGAAGTTGACTGGGGACAGATTGTGAAATGCTCCATAGAGAAGAGATACAACTCTATGCTGTGGTTAGTGTGGAAAGCAGTGTAATGAACAAGGTCTGTTTTAGAAAGTTGCTTAATAGCCCAAAGGTTGGTCTGAAGTGGGAGAGACCAGCAGTAATCACCAATGTCCTGGTGTGAACCCCTCCAGGCTTTGTTTTGCTATCAGTAAACTGAGAGAAATAGTTGTTTATATCTCTTGGAGTGTTTCCAGTTTTAAATGAAAACTCAGGTAAAACATTAGCACAGCAGTAACAATAACGCACAGCCTCATAGGGCCCCGTTACAGGCAGTTTGGAGGAGTAGTTACACACAAGGCTTGTGTTGTCTCTTGGACCTGAGTTTATGTCTGGGTAATGCTGGGTGGTATATTTTGATTCCAGACAAGGTGAGAAGATGGCCAAGGAGCGGTTGGATGAAAGGGAGCAGGGTTACATGCTTTGTGCTTTGCGGGTGGTGTGTAGTGGGGCATCTGGAGGAAGATGGTTCCCTTCTGTGAACTCTATGGAGAAACAGCCCGAGCCCAGCTTTGGACAGGACTTTGCAGTGGGCAGGGGTAGGATACGTTCAGGTAAGAACGTTGAGTTCCAACACGGCTCTTCGGCGCCTGTGCAGGGCCAGGAGGTCTCAGTGGGGTCTACGACAGGAGAAAGGGTGAAASTGGCCTACCCAGAGGCTGGGAGAATCTTGCTAAACAGCCTTCCCTTTGGAGGCTGGGCCGGAGCCCCGAGGCAGAACGGGTAGGGGCGGCCCCAGATGTGGCGAACTTGGCCCAGTAGCGCGGGAGGGCAGGGCGGAAGGGCCGAGACGAGCTAGGGGGTGCCGGGCGCTCCGCCCTGTCCCGGGGATGCAGGAATCTGAGCCGGGAGACWGGCGCGGAGGGGAAAGGGGGGCGCCAGGGTGGAGAGCCAGACGGAAAGAGAGATGGCAGGAAGCCGGGAGGAGCGAGTGGGGGTGGAGACCATCGAAGGGAAGGGAAAAGGGCGGGTAGGAGGTGGAGAGAGGGAGAGRGAGAGGAGGGCTGGAGGGAGTAGACCGGGGAGGAAGGGTGGGGTAAAGAGGAGAAGCAGAGAGGACTAGGAGGGGAGCCAGGCGCGGAGGCCGCGGCGGGCGCAGCGGCCACCTCGGCTGGGCCACCCCTGCGAGCAAGGCGCCGCCATTCCGCTGCTCGGAGCGCCGCCGCAGCCGCCGCCGCGCCCGGGGGCCATGCTCCCGCCGCCCCCGCGCCAGCCGCCGCCCCAGGCGCGCGCTGCCCGCGGAGCGGTGAGCCTGCAGCGGCCTTTTTTGCGCGGCCCGCTAGGCGTGCTGCGGCTGCTGCAGCTGCTGGCCGGCGCCGCCTTCTGGATCACCATCGCCACCAGCAAGTACCAGGGCCCGGTGCACTTCGCGCTCTTCGTGTCGGTGCTCTTCTGGCTGCTGACCCTGGCCCTCTACTTCCTTACGCTCCTAGGCAAGCACGAGGTGGTCCCGGTGCTAGGCTCGCGCTGGCTGGTGGTCAACGTGGCTCACGATCTGCTGGCGGCCGCACTCTACGGCGCCGCGACGGGCATCATGATCGACCAGACGCAGCGCCACAGCTACTGCAACCTCAAAGATTACCCACTGCCCTGCGYATACCACGCCTTCCTGGCGGCCGCCGTCTGCGGCGGCCTCTGCCTGGGCCTCTACCTGCTCTCGGCGCTCTATGGCTGCTGCCGTCGCTACCAGGGCAAGCAGGAGGTGGTGTGAGGCTGCCCGCGCTCTCCGCGGCCGGGATTGGCGCGGGGGACCCTCCGGGGTCTTTCCCGCCGTCACCGTCGCCGCCCAGCGCGGATGCACCCTGGCAACCTCCCTTGCCCTGCATTTCCACCGCCGCCCGCGCCCCGGACCCCAGACATGCAGTTCCAGTTCGACAGCAGCGCCGCAGCCCAGAGTCCGGAAAGCAGTGCCAGACGCGCCCTCGGACTCCAGGGACCAGCGCTGCGACTCCAGGAGCGGATGCATACCCTCAAATGGGCCGCCCCGAGGCGAAACTTAGATGTTCCTCGTCCCCTTCCCTGCGGAGAGCAAGACGTGGACAGGCGCCGCGTAGATCCGGGGGAGGCTCCTAAATTGGAACCAGTCTTTGGGCTGCACCACTGCCCCCTCCCTCCCGCCCAGTGGTCAGAAGAGCACCCCCTTCCCAAGCCCTTCTTTTASCCTTGGGTATTGTAAAAGGCTTGCTGGCAGCGCGGGTGGAGCTGGGGACAGGCCTCAGCTGGTCCAGAGATGAGTTTGGTTTTCGTTTGGGATTGTGCGGGGAATCTGCCCCAGCCCCTCCCTGCCCACCCCTCGGTGCTTCTATGTCCTGGGGCCAGTCTGAAGAGGCAGGGATGGATAGGAAAGGCCAGTGGACTGTACCCTTACACCTCTGAAGCTTCTCTCGGCTCTGCCTTCTCCTCTTTTGTGCTCCGGATTCAAGCAGGCCAGGCCCCAAGCACACTAACCTCCTTGGCCTYGCAGTGACACAATTCTCCTGAGGCTTCTGCTCAGCCCACCGCTCAATGTTTGCATTATGGATCCCGCCAGACCATCAGGAATGTTAGAGTGAGGCCCACCCCTGCTTTTTACAGGTTGAGACCCAGAGCCAGCTCTTAGGAACAGCCAATTTACTATTAGAAAYTGGTCTCCCCACAGGCGGCCCAGCGCTATTCACGCTGAAGCAGTAGGTGTCCCGGGAAGCCTGGATCAGGAGCTACCTCTTTAAAGAGGGTTTTGAGGTCAAATGGGTTTGTTAGAGGTGTCCTCTCCCCTTGTTGGAGTTTTACAATGTTTATTAACTTGTAGCAACGACTCTGAGAAGTCCCCTAGCACAAGAAGCCCCAGTACAGAAATTTAGTTCACTGTATTAACTACTTCTGGGCTTGGGCCAGCATTGTCACCTTAAGGTTCCAGGCAGTCCTGTGCTGACYCAATTCTCATTTATTCCCATGGAAGATTTAGGAAGCCCCCTCCAGAGAATTTTGTTGGCAGGAGGATGCCCAGGGCAGTGAGGAAGGAGTTAGCTGCCTCTGGCCAGCCAGAAACATGGGCACTGGTAAACTTGAACATTCCTTTACATTGTTGGAAAAATGAAGCCAAGGCTCTCCAGATGGTTTCCCAGTCAAAAGGACCGTCACCTGTAAGATCCTGGCATTGACTCAGCAGCTGGCAGGGTGGGCCCTGCTCACTGAAGAGAAGAAGTATCTCTGGAGCAGGGCAAACAGCTGGACAGGTAAGGTAGTTCTTGGTTTTCTGGAAGGGGTCATAGGGCTTTAAATAAAAAGCATAGAACTTTCTCCTTTTCCAAATGTTAAAGGGTTTTTATTCAGAGCAAGTTGGAGGAGTGACAGTGATAACCACACAATGTCCATAGAGTTGGGTAAATTCAAACTTTTTACTAAATTCTTCAAAGGTCCGCTCTTTAAAAAAGTTCAACCTCCCCTGGATCAGAAWCCAGAATAGGGTAGGCCATGGACTSGGAATGGAACCCAGGGCCTCAGGCATGCCAGACAAGCACTCCACCAGTGAGSTRTATCACCTTCCCCAGTGAGCTGTTCTTAAAACTTAGGCATAGAGGTTTCTTTGCTGTGGTTAGGAAGGTAGTGGTTCAGATGGGGGTGTAAGTTTTACATATCACCTAATGTAGCCCTACTGTGTGGCTGGCACTGCTTGGGGTATTTTACATGTATTCATGTATTCTCTTAGTAATACTATTGAAGTAGGTGCTAATATTCTTCTCTCTCTCTCTCTCTTTCTCTCTCTCTCTCTCTCTCTTTGGCATTAGGGGTTGAACCCCAGGATGCTTAACCACTGAGCCACATCCCTAGCCCTTTTTATTTTTTATTTTGGGACAGGATCTTGCTAAATTGCTTAGGGCTTTGCTAAGTTGCTGAGGCTGGCCTCGAGTTTATGATCCTTCTGCCTCAGCCTCCTGAGTGGCTGGGATTATAGGCTGTGCACCATGCCCAGCCCTTCTCATTTTTGTATGAGGAACATGAGCCCCARAGAGGTTAAATAAGGTTTCCAAGATCTCCTCCCTGATCAGTGATGGAGCATACATTGGAACCCTGGCACTCTGGCCTCTTTAGCCATGCTATACTATACTAAGTAGCACCATTACATACTAAGTTTGATACTGTCAGTGTGGTTTTTTATTTACTTACTGGTAGTGGGGGTTGAAACCAGGGCCTTGCGCATGCTTAGCATTTCTTTATTTTTTTCTGGGGTTGGGGATGTGGCTCAGTGGTAGACCATGGATGGGCTTAGCATGAATGAGGCCCCTAGGTTCAATCTCCAGCATCAAAAGACTCCTTTTTTTCCTAAGTTGTGGTAAAATATTCATTACCCGAAATTTACCATTTGAACCAATTTTAAGTGTACAGTTTAGTGGGTGGCATTTAGTACATTCACATTATTGTACAGCCATCCYCACCATCCATCACCATGACTTTTTTCATCTTGCAAAACTGAAAATCTTCATACCCATTACAATTGTGGTTATTTTGTTGTTGTTTTTCTCTCTGGGAAATCCCAGAACACTGAGCCCTATGGGTCTGGAGTATTTAATATTTTAATGGGTTGAGTCTCATGGAAGGGTAACTGTTCCAGAGCCTGGAGTGGGTGCTGCTAGGTTGTCTGGAATGCCTCGGAAGCCCAGTGACTTTCTTCTTTTGCTGCAGGTTTCCATGTTGCTGAGGCTGGTGGAGATTGCCAGAGCCGGTCGGGCTGACCTCTCCTAAGCCTGCTGCCGTGGTTGGCAGGGCCATGCTGGCCCTGACTGGCAGATGGATTCAGAGTCTTCACTACAGAAGGGCCAGGTGGGAGAGGGAATGGCCTCTGCCCAGCAGTTGCTTTCCCACCATCCAGTGGAAGAGCCGGGATGGTGAAGATTTATTTGTGCCTTAACCCAAGATAATTCCTGATTCTCCTTGTGCCATGATTTGGGCACAAGATTCCAGGCACTTGGAACTGAGCTCTGTACCCTGTACCCTAAAGAGTGGGTTTTAGTTCCACCTTCAATTCTTTTTGCTTTGGCATTTTTTTAAGATCACCATCGAAGCTGAATGCTAAGCTCAGGTCCAGCTCCCTCAGGATCTCCTTCTCGGGGCCCCCAGCCCTGGTGCCCTGCCTGTCGCCAGGTGTCCTCACTCAGGAGCAGACATCTTGGCCTTCATGGTGCCTTGTCCACCCAGATGTGYCTATAACATTCCAGATGTGGCATGTGCCTTTCCACTTGGCTTCTAGTGGCTCTGTGGTCCCTGTGAGATGTGAGAAGGATCTACAGGACTACTGCCACATCTACCCTCCCATCTCCACGGCCTTAGTTATGGCCACCTGATTTTGCCTAGAATTTTGGATACTGAAGGTAGTAGCATAGGCCTCCCTCTTTGATTTGATTCTAAGACTCCAGAACCAGCCCAAGACCTTCCTGGCAGCTCACAGCCCAAATTCTGGGGCACTTGTGGACTTGAGAGATGATTTCCACAGTGTTCTACAAAGGCTAAGAGAGAGAGAGAGTGGGTTTGGGAGGAGTGAAGGTGGTAAGAGAGGGGACCTGTGTGCCTCATTCAGTAGTTTAGCGGTGGTTACCAATATGCTTTTCTTAATAAAGTTTGTTTTGTCTGATCTTGGCATCTGTGCTTTCTATCTTGTGTAATCTTCAGTAACCCTTGGTGTCTGGTCCTCCAAGCCTCCCTCCAGGTCCTCATGCCACATTGCCCTTCGGCTGCCTCCTCTCTGCCTCCTTGCCTTCCCCTTTCCTCTGGGAAGGAAGGGAAACCTAGTTCACAGATTTTCCATGCCGTTCAGAACAGGGCACAGGGGTTGCCTGAGGGCAGGAACCAGAGGAAAGAAAACTGTGTTCGTTTCTGGCTGAGGCTGGAGGGAATTCCAAAGGCTCCTGGCTCAGCTYTCAGTGTATCTGTTTGCAAGCTCCATTGCCTGTCATGCCAGGCGCAGAATAAATGTTCCAGTCTAACCCCATCATCTTGGTGGGGTGGGGGGACAAAGTTCAGGGTGTGGTGGCAACTCCTCACAGCTGATCTGGAGTACAGCTGGAGTTTACTGGAGCACAAGCTCTGGTTTTTGTCCTGTAGACCACTGTGCCTAACATGTGCCTGATTCTCCAGAAAATTTTCTGTCCAGCCAGTTGTTGACTGCTAACCAAGATGCCTTGGGAAGGGCGCAAAGGCAGAGGTAAGAGGCTTCCTGACCTGCTCCTCCTTATGTCCTGAGCATGTTGTCTGCAGCCAAGAAATAGGATGCTATTGGCAGATCTCAAAACTTGCTGGGAATAGCTCCAAGTTCCCAATGGAGCAGCTGACAGATCCGCTGCTGTGTGTGCTCCACACCCCTCTTCCAAAGAACCCTCTTCAACATGAATGTGTGTGTGTGCCTCATTCAGTAGTTTAGCGGACTTTATCTGGATGCATATTAAAAAAAAAAAAAGTGACAGTTTTATGCAAAACCTGATAAGTCCTCTGCTTGTCTTGACTTCGCTTGCCGGGGTATTTTGTAATTGAAAAGTACTTTTACCCGCATTGCCTTATTTGACCTTCCCAATAGTCTTAAGAGGTTGGTGTTGTTACTCAGCCCTTAACAAAGGAAATGGAGCTCTAGAGAAGGAAAAGAGTTTCTATCCAGAGTCACATACCTGGCTAGAAGCAGGACGTGGCTGTAAGAGGTTCTCTTAAACCCCGCAGTCCTTGGCAGGCTCTGAAACTTAGGTGAAATTTGGTTTTTCCTCTTGGACACCAAATGTTTAGGAATGGTATAATCTGATTTTTTTGGTTTGTTTATTTAATATTTATGTGCAGGAGGCACTTTGAAATAAGACACTGCTTCTCAGGGATATCATGAGCTCCTCTGAGTTCTAGAAATCCCAAGGGTTTCCTCATTTTTGTCTATTACTTTTCCTGTTTTATTTATTTTTTATTTGGGGAGGGGGTTGGGTGGGGATTGGGTGGCTGATGGTAAGGCAAATTAATAAACTAACATGTACAGGCTTAAAGGAAAGAACAGGTATATGAGAGGTCTGGTTAGCATGATTTATTTATATATTATTTTGTTACAATAGTCATTTGTAAAATAAAATAGTAATATACAGGATGTTCATTAAAATATAATAGCAATATATATCCATTAAATATGTAAACAGAAATACACAAAGTAAAAAGAGAATTCATTCAGCCATCCTAATGTCATGTCATAGAGATAAAATCCTTAACCACTTCTCCTTTTTCCTCCTCTCCTCCTCCTCTTTCTCCTCTTCTTCTTCTTTCTTTGAACTGGGGATTGAACACATGGACACTTTTATCTCTGAGCTATATCCCCAGCCCTTTTTGTTTTCTATTTTGAGATAGGGTCTTGCTAAGTTGCTGAGCTGGCCTCAAACTTGTGATCCTCCTACCTTAACCTGGGATTATAGGCTTGCACCATCCTGCCTGGCCTCCTTCTTCATTTTTTTTTTTAATAACTAACCAGGCATATAAGGATGCATATACACTTTCAAACTCTTCTACAATTTGTGGGGTTTTGTTTGTTTTTGTTTTGGTGGTACTAGGGATTGAACCCAGGGGCACTCTACAACTGAGCCACATCCCCAGCCATTTTTTATTTTGAGACAAGGTCCTGCTAAATTGCCCAGGCTGCAAGTTAAAATGTACCCAAACACTTCATTTAAAAGTAGTGTGAGTAAGGAAGGAAAGACTATAAAGAGAGTGATACCATTATAAATCTGAATTACAGCATCTCTTCTTTTCCCAGTTCACAACAAAATTAGATCGTACCCCTCAGGTTTAATCAGTGCACTGTGCGGAGAGCAGTTCTCTAGTTCTCTGGAGATGGTTCCTCTGCCAGATGTGAGGAGAATCTGCAAACAGCCCCTGCACCCAGCCCCTCTTCCTCTCCAGGCCCTGTGCCATGTATATGACCACCTGAACTTTTGGATACTGAGCACTTCACTTTTCGCAATCCTGACTATTTACTATGTGCTCTGTTCTCTCTCTCTCTCTCTCTCTCTCTCTCTCTCTCTCTCTCTCTCTCTTAGACAGTTGGCAGACTGACTCAGATTCTTCCATGAGCTCAGCCTGTGACGGCAGAGGTGAGCCTGATCTCTTGTTAGTTGTCTGGTCTGAGGCAAATGACAAAATCTCTTTGCGTCTTGCCCTAGTCACTTAGCAAATGAGGGTACTATTTGTGACAGCCTCCTTCGGCTGTGGAAAGGGCACAGTGAGATGATGTCTGCAGAGCAGCGTGCCTGGTCACTCAGTGAACAGAGTTCAGCTCTCAGCCGTGTACCAACGGCCTTGGGAGGATTCCTGARTAACTGATAAAAACTGCTGAGCCCAGTCTGCCCCGTAGCCATAGGTAATGATCAGAAATGTGAGTTCCCTTTGTCCCACTTCACCAGGCTCTCTCCCCAACCTGGGGAACGACAGTCTCAACACCCATAAATGGAGGCCTCGTTCTCATCGGCGTCTGCTCTGCCTTCTTGTGCCCTACTTACTTTCCTGTTGTGTTGAAATGATTGTTCTGTACCTTTTATTCTCCAGAATCTGTCGTCCCTCTCTACCCTGCTTTTCCTTCCCTTTGGTGTCCCCTACCTGTCTCTGGGCTCCAAGCACTGCCCTCTTCTGCCTTCCTTTCAGCCAGGAAAGAGGACTCTTTCCATTGAGTTTCTGGGGTTCCAGTTTATCTGGAGAGGTGAACTGGCCTCAGGTCAGCAGTGGAAATCTCGCAAACCCCCCTCCTKGTGTGTTTGCAAGGTCTCCCATGATTGCATTCAAACCAAATTTAATCTAGGTAAAGGAAGCRTTTCCCGGGAACCGAGCTTCCCTAGCTGGTGAGTTTCTGGACATCTCACAACKCGGCTTTCCTCACTTCTCTGGTAACCTTGGTTGTATTTACAGCTTGTCCTGGTCTCCTCCCAGCCATCTCTAGGAATTAATGAACTTGGCTGGGTTTGCTTATTTCTAGGCTAAAGGAATGAACTACCTCAGAGATCTCAACATAGAGTGTGCAGATTTGTCTTGACGTGACAGCAGCCATCTTGAGTCATAATTGCATGACTGCCCCTGGGTCACCAGAGCTGGGATTCCTTACAAACCAGAGACAAAACCACTGGAGTCACATGTGGGGTTTTACAGTCAGACCTGATTGCAGAGATGCGCCTGACCCTTTGATAYTATCTAAAGATACACCAGGTACATTCCAGCCAGGATGAAGTCACTTTTGTCCTAACCCATAAATATTCATCCTTTTCTGGTGCATATTGAGGGGATCAACTGGTCTGGCTGCCACCAGGGCTGCACTTCTGTCAGTTCATCCCCCAGTAAATTGCACTGTATGCAATCCTGGGTCTGTCTGCCTCTYGATATTTTTCTTTTCYTTCTTTTMCTTTTTAATTTTTTCTTGATACTGGGGATTGAATCCAGGGTGCCTGACCACTGAGCCACGTCCCCAGCACTTTTGATTTTTTTGAGACAAGGTCTTGCTAAGATGCTTATCGCCTCACTAAGTTGTTGAGGCTGGCCTCAAAGTTGTGATCCTCCTGCCTTAACCTCCAGAGTTCCTGGGATTATAGGCATGCTCCACCATGCCTGATTGCTTCTCTTTCTTGGGTCTCATGTCACTTTGGGGCTGTCAACCATACACTAGGACTAAGATGTCCTGCAGTAGTGTGCCAGAAGACTAAAAAAAGAAGTATTTTTGTAGTGACAATGACAATGTAGTGACATGACAATGATGATAATTACATTATTGTTTTTTTTTTAAAGAGGGGGGAGAGAGAGAGAAAGAGAGAGAGAGAGAGAGAATTTTAATATTTTATTTTTTAATTATYGGTGGACACAACATCTTGTTTGTATGTGGTGCTGAGGATCGAACCCGGGCCGCACGCATGCCAGGAGAGCTCGCTACCGTTTGAGCCACATCCCCAGCCCCATTATTGTTAATAATGACATTAATAGTAATACAATTACACAACATCTCCATTCTTGTATTCAGAATTTGCGAATCTATTCATAGATGTAGTTTTTTGGTGCTAGCTTTTGAATCCAGGGCCTTGTACATGCTAGGCAAGCACTCCACCACTGAGCTACAGCCCCTTTCTATTTTTTTTATTTTGAGACAAGGTCTCAAAACAGGGTCTTGCTAAGTTGCCTAGACTGGCCTTGAACATGTGCTCCCTCTGCCTCAGTCTCCTAGGTATTTGGGATCACAGGCGTGTGCCATGGTGCCTGTCTCCAAGTTTACAAAATGTTTTATATTCATTATTTCTTCTCATTCTCTACTCAACAGACCAGCAATGTAATAACAACTCCCTTTTATAGGTGAGGCTCAGAGAGGTGAAGTAGCTGCATGGATATTTCTTTTTAAAAAAATACAGATTTGTTAGGTATACATATACATTAAACCACACATGTTTAAAATGTACAGGCGGTGAGCTTTGATATAGGTAAACACTGGGGAAACCACCACCACGTTCCAGTGGTGGACATAACCATTATGCCTAAAAGTTTCCCTGTGCCTTTTGTACTTCCCCTTCCCATCACCTCCCTCCCTGCCCCAGGCAGCTACTGACCTGCCTTCTAGGACTCTGCATCTTTAGACTTTTATATAAATGGAATGTGTGGCATATATTCTTTTTTTTTTTTGAGGGAGATGATATGTAGTTTCTTTTACTCAGCTTAATTACATTGAAATTTGTTTATGATATTGTTGTAACAACGATTTATCATTGAGTAGATTCACTGTATAGATGTACTATAGTTTGTTTATTGATGGACATATATATTGTTTCAAATTTTTGGTTACTCTGAACATAGCTGCCATGAACATACATGTACAAATGTTTGTGTAGATTTGCTTTAAATTGTCTTGGACGGAAACCTAGCAGTGGAATGGTTCAGTCATGTGATAGGTTTATTATTTTAAAATTGGCTATGTTTCAGGTGAAATTGGATGAGTGTGTATGTGTGTGTGTGTGTGTGTGTGTGTGTGTATGTGTGTATGTGTGTGTTTGTTCTTGCTCATCCTTTGTATTAGGGAGGGTAATTCTGAACTCAGGAGAAATTAAGAAATTTCCCATCTTGTTCTATGCTCTGAAACAGTTTAACTCTACCATTAAAAAAATATTTTAGATGGTGATGGACCTTTGTTTTATTCATTTATTTATATGCAGTGCTGAGAATTGA